GATCTAATTTTATTAAAAATAAAAATATTTAAAGGATATTTTTTTTAAATAATAATTATAATTATATACTATCTAAAAGTTAATTTTACCTCTTTAAAAAACTTTACAATTTTTTTAAAAAATTTTAATTTTAAAAAAAAATTCTTTTTTTTAATTTTACTTAATAATAATTTAAGATTTAACCCCTATTACCTTAATAAAAAGTTGTAGAGAATTTAAAATTAAATAAATTTATTATTATATTTTTTATAAATTATTAAGCAAAATTTAAATTTTACTTAGTAGTAACTAACTATTTTTTTAAAAAAAACATATAAAAATTTAAGAAACTTTTTAAAATTTAATAGTAAAATTAAAAAACTAGTTTTATTAAAAGTATAATATCTTAGTCAGAATTAAAGATAGAACAATAAAATTCAAATACATTATTAATAAAACAAATATCTTTAATTTTTACTAAATAAATAGGGGTAAGGCTTAAATAAATTTTGAGAAAATTTTAAAAAACTTTTTAAAAATCATTTAAGCGGGCAAATTTGCCCGCTATACGTTTTAAGGGATAATATGTATACGTATCAACATAAAATATAATAAAAATTGAACATCCGAAGTTCAAGCCACCATGGCGCACCAACCTGGTACACATTTTCCGTTTGCCACAAAATTTCTGGGTGATGTAATTGCTTTTTTTTCGGTAAATGAAATTTAGAAACTCCTGCAATATATTTACAGCTATTATCATAATTCTGGGACACCTGTAAAAATTTACCGAATGATTTTTCGGCCGATCCGGTTAAGTTATTGATTCGGCATTATCATTATCCGTATAATAAAATAAGCTACGTATTTTTGTATCATATAATGATTGTCATAAAAATAATGTCAACAATTTTAAATTTTCGTTCGAATGCTTGCCCGACATGTTTGGTGTGCTTAGTTTGTACGAAAATTTATGGAAAAACTGTTCATGCCAACCAATAAACCTTAAAAAAAAAATGTAAAAATGAATTGAATATAAATTAGACTTTTATAACAAGTATATTACTCGAACAGGTGCGCTATTAAAAAGTTAAATATGATCATGAATCTGTCGACTGGTTTAAAAATGAATCTCAGGTTAGGATTCAATGCGACCAATATATTATTAATATTTGTCGAGAATGCATGAAGAATTATGATGAATGAAATCAAAGTGATCTTGCCAAAGAATAGGAATCGAAATTTTTTAAAAACCAATTTTCGTTGTAATGAATAAAGGCTTTTTGTTTGATCGAAAATGGATCTTACCAAAGAATAGGAATTGAAAATTTGCAAAATTTTTAAACCCGAATTTTCGTTGAAAATAATTAGAATGAATAAAAGCTTCGTTTGAACGATAATGATCTTGCTAAAGAATGGGAATTGAAATTTTACACAATTTTTTAAAAATAAATTTTTGTCGAAAAATAATTAAAAATGAATAAAGGCTTCGTTTGAACTAAAATGGAACTTGCCAAAGAATAGGAATTGAAATTTTACACAATTTTTTAAACCCAAATATTCGTCGAAAAATAATTAGAAATGAATAAAGGCTTCGTTTGACAAAAATGGATTGTGCCAAATAATAGGAATTGAAATTTGCGACTTACAAGTGCGACAAGTATGCATGTCGATATTTATTTAGTCTTATTGTAATATCTGCATATGGGCTAGGATTTTTGATGGGAACGTTGTAATTAACAAAATTAAGTGATATGATAGAATATATCTATATTTATTATATATATGACATTATTCTTGATTATTTAATTATCAAAGTCGGTAAGAAAAAATTAAAGTATTCATAATTATTTATAAGCGGTTTCATAAGCATTGCATAACAAAAAAATCAATCAGCCAATCGATTACAAACGTTAATTAAATTTTATTATATTTTTATTTTTTAATCCCGGCAATTATACGTATCTAATATATCTGCTACTGAATCTTATTATTCCCGAAATCTATAACTTAACCGGATCGGCCGAAAAATCATTCGGCAAATTTTTACAGGTATCCCAGGAATTATGATAATAGTATAATACTATAAAATTTCCGGCCGTTTTAAAACTACGCCGGAAGTCAACTTATCCTCCGGTATTTTACAATAGAATTTTGTGCCCTGGTTAACAATATCTGAAATGTTCGATTGTTTAATATATTTTAAATAAAACTATAGTTAATTATAAATTTAATTTAACATAATTAGAATCCAATTTTATATTTTGAAATGTTATTGTAGAATTTTTAAATACGCTCCAACTTTACGCCAAAAATGTCAGAATAATATATTTTCATATTATTAATAAAATTTTGTCGCTGATCTGATCTGTAGTTTATGAAATCTGTGCCACAAACCTGCAATTTAAATGTACTGTTATTATTATGTCAGCACGTGCAGTTGAATCATCATTACGTAATTACCGCCACAACGTTTCACTAACATACAGTATCGATATATATATGTATCTGATACACAATTAATGGCAAAAAACTCCCTTATTCCTTTAAAATGATAAAATTACCAAACGAATGTCTTTTCATAATATTTAATAATTTTCAGAATGATTATAAAAGCTTATATTCATGCCTTCTTGTAAACCGTAACTGGTGTAGAATTACTGTACCAATATTGTGGAGTAAAATAGCAAGAAAATTATATAATAAAAATCTTATAAACACATGTCTTTTGGCATTAAATGCAGAAGAACAAAGGTTATTAATCCCCTTTAAAATTCCTCTTCCATATTACCCAAAGCCGTTATTTGATTATACAAGTTATACTAAACATGTTAGTTTGGGTTTACATTATGGGGTAATTCATTGGCTTAATTATAATGGATATGATAAAGTTCAGATATATACGTATTACAATGATATTAATGATATTCTTTTGGACGCAATTAAATATTCTTTAATTGCAATGTTTCTACGAACAAATAAGAAATTAGAATGTTTGGAAGTTTCAAAATTTATTTTTAATAATGAATTAATGAAAAAGTTATGTAGAAAGAATACTATTAATTCCTTAACACTTTATAAAAATTTGGTTTATTCAGAAGAAATTGCAGAAGTTCTTTGCAAGAATACGACTTTGACTTCTTTACGCCTTAAAAGCAGTAATATTGGTACTGAAGGGATGAAAGCGTTAGCAAAAGCACTTCATATAAACACAACTCTAACTTCTTTAAATCTTGTTAATGATAATATTGGTGTTGAGGGAGGAAAAGCATTGGCAGAGGCACTTTGTAAGAACACTGCTCTAACTTCATTACTCCTTTGTAGTAATGATATTGGTATAGAAGGTGGGAAAGCACTTGCAGAAGCACTTTATATAAACACTACTCTAACTTCTTTAAATCTTAGTCGTAATAATATTGGTATTGAAGGAGTTAATACACTAGCAGAGGTTCTTTGCAAGAATACAACTTTAACATTTTTAAATCTTAGCAGTAATAATATTGACGTTGAAGGAGGAAAAGCATTAGCAAAAGCACTTTGTAAAAACACTGCTCTAACTTCTTTACAAATTATCAACGATAATATTGGTATTGAAGGAGGAAAAGCGTTAGCAAAAGTACTTCATGCAAACAACACTTTAACTTCCTTATATCTTGACAGTAATGATATCGGTAGTGAGGGAGGAAAAGAATTTGCAGCAGCACTTTATATAAATACTTCTCTAACTTCTTTAAATATTAATTACAATTATATTGGTATTGAAGGAGGAAAATCACTAGCAGAGGTTCTTTGTAAAAATACTACTTTAACTTCGTTAAATCTTTGCGGTAATAATATTGGCATTGAAGGAGTAAAAGTGATAGCAAAGGTACTTTATATAAACAAAACTCTAACTACTTTGGATCTTAGTTATAATGATGTTTGTATTGAGGGAGGAAAATTATTAGCAAAAGCACTTAATGTAAACACTGCTTTAACTTCTTTAAAACTTAATGGTAATAATATTAGTACTGAAGGAGGAAAAGCATTCGCAGAAATGTTTGGTATAAATACTACTCTAGCTTCTTTAAATCTTTCTTATAATCAAATTACTTCTGAAGGAATTTATGCATTAGTAGAGGCTATTCGTAAAAATACTACTTTAGTCTCATTATATCTTTACGGTAACCGAATTAATTATGAAGACAAGAATATATTGAAAAATATCAATCGCATAAATTGTTACTATTGAATTGTCAAAAGAAAAGTTGCAACAAAACTCTTTACATAAATTTTTTTTTTAAAAAAATTGTATTATGAAACTTTTAGCTTAAGCCATATAGAGTTAATTAGTTGCTTCTCTCAGAGTAGCATTTAAAAAAAAAATTATGAAATATTGGGTGGCTTTAATAGAATAAACATATGTCTTGTCTTATTTGTTTTTGTATAACGAAAATTCTTTAGTCAAAAAATTATTACGTAGTTTTATATTAAAAATTCTTTAGATGTATAACGCTTAATAATTTTTCCAAGCATTATCTTAACAATTTACGTTTCAAATTTTTAAATCCAATATCGAATAATATATTTTATCAATGAATATATATTATCATAATTTGTGAAAGGATTAGATTTTTTTTATGATGGTTTAAGTAATTTCGTAATAAATATGGTTAATATCTTAAAAAATAAGTATACGTACTAGAAAGTTTACTTATCAAAAAAACGGACAAAGAAAGTTTTGAACTAAACATATGGTAGAGTCAATAGAAAAGGGACAAGTCGTTTTAATAATTTTTTTAATTTTTAAATTAAAATATCTCAACAACTATTTAATCAAATTTGCTAAAATTTTTATTATTTTGATTTTGAAATTATATAGAATTAAAATAAAAAAAAAACTTAATTAAATTTGATAAGACAATTGCTAAGATATTTAAGCTTAATGTTAGGAAAACTTTAACTTAGAAAAATTTAAAATTTGACCCTTTTCTATTGACTCCACCCCATATGTTGATTTTATTAAATGACCAGTCGCTTAAATGAAACATCCATCACATTTGGCAACTTTTCACCTTCAACATCTTAAAGTGTTATTTATAAAGTAACCATTCATTTACAACCGTTTTACCTACAGTCGTCTACATATGTAGATTTACGTATCAACTTTTGGTCATACATATGCTTCTGTACTCCCATAGGAAGTAGTATTGATAGCTTTTTAGCTAAATTGGTAAAATATAAACTAGCTATGCTGTGGTTTGATCTATTTTATAGTTTCCGTTCGAATTGTTTAGCTAAATTATAAAATATATTTTATTATATAATTCCTAATTGAATAAAATCTGAGGCTAGGATTATTATGGCGAAGTTGGGCGGATTTATCTCGCAATGGGGTATAGAAACCATCAAAAATTATGAATAACTCTCCATTAGGAAAAAGGTTTGCTAACGAGAGTTTGAGACCAAGATGAGGGTTCGAAATACTTCAAAGTTAAAATATATACAATGCCTAGACTAATAAATAGAATAACCAAACATATTTTCTAACGTATAGAAGTAATACAAATAAATTTGAATTTCAACATTCAACAGTTTATTTCTTTTCAACCATTTGGTTAGTTCCTGTGACGTTCCTCGATAAATTATGTATCTTTTTGCAATTGATCCTTTTTTTACGCCTCTTCATTTCAGATTGATCGATTGATTGTAACGAGAAATTTTGGTGAAATAGATAAGACACTAACTTGAAAATTGATTGGGATTCAAATCTTTCGTATCCGTTTTTGAAACATTTAATTCTGTGAGAAGTTGCTTATTGTTCTTAACGTCACTAATAATATGTTGAAAAAAAGCTTATCAACAGATATTATACGCTTATTAGGTCTTCACTTAGTTATTGAACTATTATAGATTGTAATTATTAAAAATTTAAAATACCAACCTAGTTTAATTCTTTTTTCAGGCGACTGAACTTTGTTTATTTACATTTGGTTATATAGTTTTAACTTGTGACTCATAAACTGACTAAAGAATTTGGCGAATCGGCGTAGGTAGATTTTATATACGTATTCAATGGTTTATCAAGTCCTAATTTGATGGGTTTTTTGCTTATAATTAACGAAATAACAGCTTACAATATTAAAATACATTCTTGTAACAAATTTGCATCTTCTTTTTTGCAGAAAAAATAAGAAAGAAAACAGACGAAAATAATATTGATTTATTATAATACGTATAAATACGAAATGATAAACTAATGACAATACTATTTTATTAACAAGTCATTTTGGCTTCTATATAGTTAATACATGATCACACGATCCCAACCTTGTGTAAATTTTCCAAGCGCAATAAACATCTATCCTGTGTAACTTATACTATGTCCAGAGCTATCTTGTCACATACGAACACCTCTCTTCCAATTTGGGTGTATGTGAATTAATTAAAGATTGATGAGCGAGAAATAACATTAGCTGCTTGAACACATCGATTCATTAGATCTTGTAACATATCATACGTTCTTTATTATTGCAGTTTGCAAAACTATGTGAAATTTGCAGATTGCCGATTCTTTAACATTACTTCTGATGACATATATATACATATCAACTAATATTATAAAGACTTATACGTACATATATATAAATAATATATATTTATTTAGCATACAATTTTTTTTTAAAAAAATCATTTCTAATGATCAAAATTATTATTCGGGAACATGCTTTTGATGCAAAAGTGTCTTTTTTGTACAACTTTTAAAATTTATTGTACTGAAAATATATATATATATTCCAATAAAAAAAAGTTATACGAAAGTTCCTTATGTTTTTACTTTGAAATTCCATAATTCTATCGGTAATAAATTAATTTTCTAGTATATATCACGTAATAATTCTTATAAGATTGAATTTAGAGCAACTTTTAAAATTTCTCCTTGTTTGTCATCAACAAAACCAGTAAATTTTACCGGGCTAGAAAAGAAACAAATTTAATATATTACACAATCAAAGTTTTTTACAACATGATGAATATACAAATTATATTCCTATAAAGATCTAAATCAAATATGTTCCAAAATTATGAATATACAACTTTTATTTCTGCAAAAAAATGGTAAAGAAATCTGCAAAAATCATCGATTTCTTTTTTTTTTTTTGATTTGCAAAATTTCACATAATATTACGATAGTCGTGTGATAACAATACAATACATCGCAACAAAAGGTTTCTCCAGACAACTCCTATATCACAAAACAGAAATAGGGCATTTTGTAACCACTTATTTTCGAAATAAGCTACAGCTGTTTCATTGATTTTGGGACATCTGGTAAAAAATTGACCGATATATATCTAAATTTACCTCTTTATTTTATTTTTACCTCTCAAAAACCTCTTTCATACTCGTGCTACAAGTTTAAGCATTCGAATCAATAATCATTTAGAATTGGTATCCACTTTTGGCATATAATAGGAAATGATAGTGTCACACATTTGAGAGCATTTTGTATTGTAGTTCTCTAGATAATGACCTTGATTCTTGATCTTAAGCATACCGCTTCATTTATTTCACTCAGAACAGCAGTCGTACTTATGTTGAAAATATTTGAGCCGCAGATGGAATACTAACCTTATTTATACTTTTCTGTTTTCACTTGTACTATTATAAATTAAAAAAAATTTTGTTCTAGCACTGGTATGTATCGAATTTAAGCCTTTAATAAAATATTATTATCCAATCTAACATGAAGCTCGGTTATTTTGGCAAACTTATCCAGAAGATTATTTTCCTATAATTTTTGCTGTTTTGTCAATGACTTTGCAGAGATTTAGGGTGCTCTCAAGTAAAGATGCTGGTAAAATAAATTAGGGTGGTGAATTAATTTCACCACTATTGGTGAAACTGGTGAAATTGATGAAACTAATTTCACCAGCATCTCTACTCTCAAGCATTTAAATTAATAGATCGGGACTCAATTTTTTAATCAGTTTAACTAGTCAATTAATACTAGCAAATCACATTGAGGAGATATTTGAGAACACCTTTAAGTTAATAACGATCATTCATAAATCGATATAAGCTAATTTATCGATTGAGGTATTTAAAGTAGTTATTTTTATTCTAGATAAATACAACGATTATTTGACAATTTAGATATTTAAAATAGACATTTATTTCTTAATTTGTTCTATTTAATGCGGTTCTAATAGATATACCATTCAATAAATTTAAAATTAAGAAATTTTATTTATTTTTTCTGTTCGTAAAGTATAATCCTACATAGTTAAAATACTATTTGAAAAATCTTATTTATTTATGAAATACAAATTATATTTTGAAATCCCTAATAAAAGTATTTAAACTATTCGCCTTTCATTTAATTTTTTCTATTTTTGTATTGATTTAACTTATGCATAACTACTATGACCATTTCGCTTATTCACATTTACTCAAAATATGTATTCATCTCGCATTTAATTTCTTATTCGCGTTTTTTTACTTGTGAGTATAATGATTGGTTTATCAATTAAGTACTTAAATTTTTCTTATTCATATTATGGGGTTTCAAAGTTAAAATACGGGAATCTAGTTTTAATTGAAATTGATGACATATTTATTTTGAAATAAGTAATCCGGCAATATCTTATTATCAATTTGAATAAAAGGTTTACTTTATTTTTTTTAACGACTCCAAAACACGCTCCCATTTCATTTTCCGATTTTAAAATCTTGAAAATAAATAAGATTTTTCAAACTCTCATTTAATTTCAAAATGCGCCACTTATTTGTTAACTTCAAAACCTCTATTAATTTACGAGCTAGCAATACATTACATTGTGATAAATTACATGTATTTTTATTTATTAAAAGCAGAAACCCGTGATGGTACTTTGTGTTTATTTAGAAGTTTGCTTTTATTGGACACGAAAAGCATAGGTACGAATGGTCATGTGATTGGAATAATGCCGGCAAGCTAAAGGTGCCGGAAATAAATTCAATTAAGGGACTTTAAGTCCGCAGAATACATTGTGAGTAATTTGAGTTGATTGATTTGAGCTGAGTAATTTGAAGTGAAACGATGATATGCTCCCGTGAAAATTAGCAAGTGAGATTACACCAGGTACCATCGTAACAGTGGAATGAGTGAGAAACAGCATCAGCCGGTGGTTTCCCACTGCCCGAAACAGGCCGGCTGTTAAATAGGAAAATGGCAGACTACAATGTGTGGTGGGAAGGGTTGGGTCGAGAAAAAAGAGACGGTTGTAATGCTTGGTTTGTTGAAAGAGGAATGGGTGTCACAAATCAGTTATTTGTCGCTTCTTTACTGTACGACTGTTGCAACGTTTCACAACATTAAACGTATTCGATATATATATATATATATACCCGATACACAATTACGTATTGTTGTACTTAAAAGAATCCCTAATCCTTTAAAATGATAAAATTACCGAACGAATGCCTTTTCATAATATTTAATAATTACCAGGATGATTATGAAAGTTTATATTCGTGCCTTCTTGTAAATCGTAACTGGTGTAGAATTATTGTGCCAATATTATGGAGTAAAATAGCAAGAAAATTAGATAATAGAAAACTTATAAATACATGCCTTTTAACATTAAATGCAGAAGAACAAACATTATTATCCCCCTCTTCCATATTACTCAAGGCCGTTATTTGATTATACAAGTTATACTACACATATTGGTTTTAACTTGGATTATGGAATTAGTAATTGGCTTAATTATAATTGTAATTATAATGCTCGGATATGGACAGATAACATTGATAATCTTGTGTGTGCAGTTAAATATTCTTTAATTTTAATGTTTCTACGAACAAATAAGAAACTAGAATATTTGGATGTTTCTTGTTTTATTTTCAATGATGAATTAATGAAAATTTTATGTAGAGAAAGTACTATTACTTCCTTAAATATTTATAAAAATTTGGTTAATTCAGAACAAATAGCAGAGATTCTTTGCAAAAACATAACTTTAACTTCCTTATCTCTTTATTACAATAATATTGATACTGAAGGAGTAAAAACATTAACAAAAGCACTTCATATAAACACAACTCTAACTTATTTAATTCTTTGCAACGAAGATATTGGAAATGAGGGAGGAAAAGCATTGGCAAAAGCACTTTACACAAACAAAACTTTAACTTCGTTATACCTTGAGAATAATAATATTGGTAATGAAGGTGGGAAAGCGCTTGCAGAAGCACTTTATATGAACACAACTCTAACTTCTTTAGAGCTTAGTTACAATAATATTGGTATTGAGGGAGGAAAAACATTAGCAAAGGCGCTTTGTAAAAATACCGCTCTAACCTCATTAAATATTTGCAATAATAATATCGGTAATGAAGGTGGAAAAGCGCTAGCAGAAGCACTTTATATAAACAAAACTTTAACTTTTTTAGATCTTAGTAGCAATAGTGTTGGTATTGAGGGAGGGAA